GTTGTATTTATAGAGGACTAGGAATTCTACTGACCTGCATTAATTCAATTTTAACTCAACATTTGCATTATGACAGTGAAGTATTACCTATGGTACACGCTTTTTATGCCGAAAAATTTAGTTCTATAGCGGATTAAATTTTTTGAGACGCACGGATACAGGGAGGGATGTTTTTGTCTTTGACTTCTCTAGCCGTTGTCTTACGAGACAGGAGGTTTTGTATATCGTTTCTTGTTCCAGTTTTCAGGAATTACCCTGTTGCTAAGTTTTCATTTATTTTATATTAAAGACTGTAATGGACCCTTGTCCACGCCTTTGAGCTATTTGGTCCATAGTACAAGACCAATCAGCGCTCAGCTGGTCTTTACCTGGTGCCCATTTAAGACTGGGTCGACATGGTCATTTCTGAAAAGCGTAAATGGCTGTGCAACGAACTTACCTTTCAATTATTACATCTTTTTGGGTCCACGGTCACGTATCCAAGCACATGTAATTCCACCCTCTATAATTACATCGCCCACCCTAAACCAGCCTGTTAATAAATCTAGTGGTACTGTCGCCATCTGTGGCTAAGGCGTAGCGAAAACGTCTCGTAATACCGGTTTGCCGGTTTGGGTCCCATCTGCAGACTATTTGTCTTGCGTTTGTTTTGAACTGCTGAACCTGCTGGGGTTGGTTCTGCAACGTCCTGTTAGAATAACTTTGGGCACTTTAGAGCAGGACATAGAAATTATGAGACAAGTATTTAGGCAAAAGCTGGTGAATCTTTCCTGTGTTGTAGTGACAGGTGGCGAAGTGGCTAGAACGCTTGCCTGTCGGCCCGTTCGTCATGTGTTCGCATCATTTTTTTTTTAAGCGGGACAGATTTAACGATTAAAATGAGCTTTCATGTTGACACTTTCACAACTGGGTATGATTATGATATCAAACATTCAATGTTAACTTGTCTACAATTGTGGGACGATAACGATTTACTGGATAAATCGATCCTTTTGGTTAAAAGACCATCATAACCGCTCGCTTTAGCATATACTCTTTGTAGAATACTCTACGCTCCAACAATACTTTGCTATATATAAGAGAACAGTGCTTCTACTTTTCTGGTGATTTCAGTTAGTCTAATCCTGTATGATTTCTTTGTGTTGTGTGCTTAATAATGACGATAAAATGTTATTACAAATAAATAAAATAAAAGCCATATAAAATGTACTCGAAATGTTTAGTTGAAACAATGTCGGTTTCAAAGAAACGGCTGAATAGTTACTGTATATCGATCCCCAACTAAGCCAAATAATGTTTATAGCAAGCTAAGTGGTTACATAAATATGACGTGCAAAAAAAAAAATATTTAGTAAGACTGGAAAAGCTAGTGGCTGAGAAATTCAGGGAGACCTAGACTAATATCGACTCTTGCCAAGAGTGTTAGGGAGTCACCGATCAAGAAATTATACATCAACAAATGCAGCGATCCTGGCTTATGATGTATATTAGGGGTTTCAGAATAAGCATGAAACAATGGTGGCGGAACTGAAACTGAAAAAAAAAAAGAAAAAAAACATATAAAAGATCTAGATATGATTTGAAAAAGGGAGGGGGGAGGGGGATTTGTCTTTGGATTTTAAATTTAATTGCAGCGTACCTTGTATTAACGTCAGACTGCTTTTCGCCTAAATTTGAGGAGCTCTGTGCCCTGTAGCATAAAACCTGGCATCTTACAGGCGCCCGCCATTTTCCTTGTGCTTTTCAGTGTTTACACCAGCAGGATATCGGCAAAAGATGCAGTGGGTGTTTGGATAATTTTTACTGTTGCTAACTATATCTTAGTGAACAAGCAGGAGAGAAATAGAATATAAATATCTAAAGAATTGCAGATCGCGGTAGACAAGGTTAGTGAATGTTTTGGGGAAACAGGTTATATCATCAAACCATACAAAGCAGTTGTATTGTGGCATTCGTTAAATAATAGAATAGAAGTGTTAGAAACGATGTTAAAAAAAAAAAAACCACAATAAACCGTAATAATATCAGCAGAGCGAATTTATTGAAAAATCTTAGTATTACCTTTCACAGGAGATTGTATTTCATGTATCAGTCAGAAGAGGTAGTATTAAAGACAGGGAAAGTACTAAATGCTTCGAAGATGATGGCATCAGCGGACATAAAGCAGACAATGCTCGACACACTCGATTAGAAATGTTTGTGCTATTTACAAAATAAAAATGAAAAATCCTAATTAGGAATGGGTCAAATTTCTCCCCAAAAAAAAAAAATTGCATTTATAGTTATCTTCGACAGAGGGTGTCCGAAATGGTAGTAAAACAAAGAAAACATAACAAAAAGTTAGGTGTCTTATCATAATGTTAGGTGTCCGCTACTCGAAGATGGTTTTAGTTATAATAAAAATTAAAACTTCTGGCAAAAGGAAAAGTGTCACAGAAAAAGGCTACTCCCGGTGACTCAGTGAAGGGTTTCAAGTTGTCCTGTCAGCTTGTTTCGTGAGGGTTTTCTTGTGTCATTGAAGGTGCTAGGACGTAAAAGCCGATCAATGAGATTATTGATCAAGTTACATTATTGTATACTTAGATAGTCCCTAGTAAGAGATAAAGAGAATGGGTACGGTTTATTTGTAAAGTTAAACTGCCCCTGTTTGAAACCCGACAAGCTCGCGTTTCGTCAGAATATCTAGTATGGGAATTAAGGTGGAGGCGTAACGGCAGATTTTCCATCACTTGAAAGCAGCACAATCCAACATGCTGTAATTTGAAGAAACTCACAGAGCATGCCTCGGAATATAGAAAGTGGCATCATAAGCGTACAGTGGCTAAAATCGCAAAGTAAGACTTAGATCAGGAACAAATCATGGATTTTGTGTCCAGGAAGTTCAGATGTGCGGGATAATGAACAGGCTGACAGGTTGGCTGCTGCCGATACTTTAGGGGTTAGGTACTTTATGATAAAGCGGACGTAAAGAAGGTTCTTTGGGATTAAGGGGATAGTGTACCAGAACAGACACATTGAAAGATAATTCAGCGGAAGTAAGCAGAGGTTGTGGGAGATATTCAACTCGGAAAAGGGTGGTAGGGGGTTATAAAGTGACTTTTAATCAGGTCGTAACTGGTTCTGTTAACATCTCAACTCTTTGTTGGATAATGAGAAGGGAGGCTGAGCACGTGCATGAATGTCCCGAGTGCAGGAATGTCAATTTTTTGTTCATTTTTTTATTTATGTAACATTTAATTGTTTCTATTTGACTTGACAGATCAAAACTTCTTATGTACTTTTACAGAGGAAGTCATCAGGATCTCATTATCAACAGTGTAGGTAGGTAGGTAGTTGTACCCGACCAGGACATTACACGAGTGATAAACACCCAGTTACACAAAGTGCCACCATGCGGATGAGGATCACTCGTGGAGAGGTCCCGGAAACCCCTTTCAGCCGTGAGGCCATATTTATGGTCCGGCTATATATTTAGAACCCCGGGAAAAGGCCATGGCGGGGCTTCAAAAAAAAAACAAATAAATTATGACTGTGAGACAGCCAATATCGCACTCAAGGACAAACTGACTGCATAACCCATATTGCAACTCCCAGATTTGACCAAACCCTTTACCCTGAGAACTGATGCTAGCAACATTGGAGCAACCTTATCACAAGAAGGGAGAGAGAATCCGACAGTCTTGTTACCTATAGCGTATGCTAGCAGAAAACCCAACAAAGCTGAGAGAAATTGTTCCACAATTCAGCGGGAATGTTTATCTCTTTTTTTGGACTGTCCCAAAATTTCAGCCATCTCTTTTTGGTACCCAGTTTAAAGCAGAGAGTGATCATCAACCTCTAGTATATCTGGCGACATCTAAGAAACTAAACACAAGGCTTATGAGATGGTCGTTGTTACTTCAACCGTACAACTTTACACTGGAATACATTCCTGGGAAAAGTAATATTGGAGCGGATTTTCTAAGCCGACATCCTACAATGGAGGAAGCTCGGTCAGTTTTCAACGATACCGAAGACAGTGACAAGGAGTGGAGAAGGGAGCATGGGGTCCCACCTTCACTGTAAAAAGACCAGGTTCTAGTACTTTTTTTAAAGGGGGAGGGGGAAAAAGGGTGGGGGGGGGGGGGAGGGCCTTATCTTACGAAATAATCTAAAATAATCTAACTTCCGGCCCGGCCATTTCAACTCCAGTAGATGTCAGTGCTCGACGTAATTTCGGAGATTGGCACGCCAATAACATCAGGCACGATCCCGCGAGTATTAAGGGTGTTTGATATTCATACAAGGGGCCCGGCTGTGCCACGTCATACCCACAACAAATTGGAAGGGAAATCTACAATTGTTTAGTATAAGCCACTAGATGGCAATTTGTTTTTTTATAACTAGTCCAGGAGAGACTGTATAAACACTCAATTTCTGTAACCACACTAAAGTGGAATTGAAAAGGCCTTGGCCTATATCACATTTTCTGGCACCAAAGCTTGGAATATATATTTCCCATTTGTGAGGAGAAACCAGACGCCAGACCAGATAACATCTACCAGACACATGAGGTGACTGTGTTGCCCCACGAGCCTGAATTTGCCTACGCCAACTAACTTCTCACCGAGGAAGAAAACTTTATTATTTTGCCAATCACATAGTACCATAGTAATTATTACAGTGTATGATATCAACTGTTTGCCCACATCGTCTAGTCTTGTTTACTACGGTGAGAGTAAGCTTGAAGAGAAAGAGTTTGAAAGATACCTTTCTCATCCTTTCCTTTGTTATTTTTCTGAGAGCTCATGTATGTACTGAGAGGAGTGTGTGCAACGGAATAACAAGATTAGCCTGAGCTTTCTACATCCAGAGCTAGTTTTACCTTTTTGACTCCTGTCAGCCCATCAGCAGTGTTTTTAAATGGGTTTACACTATAATTTATAGATTATAGTGCAGAGTGGGTCTTCAAACACATTTCTGGCATAAACTAAAGTAGATTTCTTTACCTTTCTTACTAGGGGTAAGCGAGGAAAAGCGGAAACTAGCCAGGTCTGCGCTGTCTGCTGAGGCCAAGTTGAAACAAGAGCTATCTCGAGATGGCAGCACGTGGTCAGTCAAAGTCATGACGCCAGCCGGGGAAAAGACTGACGTCTACCCAGAAGGAAAAACTGTACAAGCCTTGACATTAGATGGCAGGAGTGTCAGTGTAAGCCTGTCATTTTAATATATTACTGACAGTATTTATAGTTTTCGTTTCCAGGAAACAATATAATTTAGATGTGAATTATCTCATAATTTCAAACGGTAAAGGTACTGGAATCTGGTTATGGAGGCGATGGAGGCGATGTGTCATAAAATAATTATTGAGGTGGGGGGGGGGGGGGGGGGGTAGGCGGGGGAGGGGAGAGACTGGTTTGCAATCAGAGTCGCATTAAAACCTTTGATGCCCTGTGCACTTTACATATTTTGACCCACCGCAACCACGAGCCGTCTTAACATCATTATTGGCCTCTGGGCAAACTAGTGTGTGCTGGGGCCTAACAACAACCACTCACAGGAATGAACTGCAAATTATCACTCGACATATACGATTGGCATGAAGCACCCCTGGCAAATGCCCAGGAGGAACATGTATTAAGTAGGCCCTGATGCCCTAATGTATGTAATTCAAGATATAATAATAAACTATAACATATTATTGTTATTTTTGGAAATAAACAAAACTTACAGTAACACAAAAAATTATGTCTGTTTAAACGGACATTAGGATAGAAAATTACGTCTGTTTAAGTATTTCGTCACTTTTTTTATGTTGCAAAACTCTCCCCCCCCCCCCCCCCCCCCCCCGTTTTCCTTCTTTAAAAAATCGTAAACTGATGAGATTTAAAAACAACTAATTTAATGTAACTATTAGAGACAAGGCACCCAGTCTAGTTTGTTATATTGCTATTCTGATGAATCTTACAAAAAAAAAATTATACTTCAAATGAGAATATAAACGCTAGGCTCGAAAGTTATAGAAAGTGTCTGCGACGTCCCCTGCCGTTGTGATGCCATTATCAAGTGCTTAATGTGCCTATTGTTTAATCCGGACCTGCTTGCAGTCAAGCTTATGGAGGCATTAAGAACAGTAAGAAACGCTGTCAATCTGCTCAGAAATGGCTAAAGCTTACAGAAATGATGGACTATTGTTTCAAACTAAAGCCTCGCCCAATAAACAAAGCTCTGTAAAAGGCAAAATATGATAGTCGTCCAAAGTTTTTGCGAATGGCAGTTGGCCAAGATTGATGGACAAAGAACAAGGGAAAGTCAAAGAGATAAATACTTTGATACTGGTTACATGGGCGAGGCGAGATGTAACCACTGACATTATAAGTGAAAACGGTGATCGTGTAGGATGGCAAATAATCTTCTTCTTTACGTCCTCTTTTATCGCTTCCTGTGTCGAGGGAGATATAATGTCCAGCTTCGTGCTCTTCTGGCTGCTTCGACCATTGACACATCGTGGTGCTGTAGAGATTATTTGATGTTATCTGCCCATATTTCTCTTGATCTACATCTTGCTCTATGTCCCTCTCCTCTTTTGGTATATGCATTGTGCAGTATAGCATCAAAAGGCATCTCCAAGTTGTCCAACCATTTGATTGGCTGTCTTTGTATGTAATTTAGAATTGATTCTGTGCTTACTTTATTTTGTATGACCTCATTCCTGATATGTGTCTCTTCTGGACACTCCTACAGTCTTTCTCAAACACATTATTTCCAAGGTTACTAATTTTCTTTCATGTTTTGTTGTGAGTGACCACGTCTGGCACTGGTAACATATAAGCACTGATTTTATGTGTGTGAATATGAGAGCTTTTTATTTTGTTAGACTGGAGTATTGTGAGTTTGCTCATTTCAAAGAAGGAATGCCATCTCTGCTCTAAAGTCGGTTCAAGATTCCCGAGAGTGTGTCTCTATATTGCACTTAGGGTATTTAATGTAGATTCGAATACGGACTTCTCTTTGGTTGCTTATTTACCGAAACCGTCTGTAAACATACCTGTCATAATAAAGGTGGGATACTGATTGCTGGGTATATGAAGTGAAAAAAGCTCCTTGCTCTAACTTTGTTCTATTTTGAGATTATTCCTGAGGCTTCCCTAGCTCTGCTGGATAAAAACGGACAGCTAATCTATAGTTCTGGTGTGAGAGTTTCACTCATCATTAACTGTCCGTTTCCGAAAGCCGATATTTTGAACCTCGTATAGGTTTCACAAGTTCGTTTTCGCTGCTTCAGCACATGACATTGAGCTTATTCTTTAAAAAGCTAGCCTGCCCCAGTGTAAACAAGAATTGGTGTTAATACTACAAGCTCCCCAGTATGTTCCATCAAGTTTTTATTTTCATTACAGCGAGTCATTACATGACTTTTGATTGAAATTTCTTCTACTCAATTTGGCTTCCAGGTGAACAGTCTTTTACCAACTGAGTGAAATAGCAAAGTAAGATCATCAAGTAATTTAACTTTATCAACATGTTTAGATTCGAACAGTTTATTAACTTTTTGCACTTCCATTAGAATAGGTTATAAAAAGAGCACCTTACCTTACTTTTGGCATGTTGAAAGGTTCTTTCAAAGTAAAAGCCACATATGAAGGTTAGCAATTATTTTTTTAATTACATGAAAAAGAAACACAGTCAGCACAGTGAGGATACGGTTGAAACAAAGTTAGTAAGATTTACGCGCGTTTTTATTAATCAGTACCGGGGCTGCCAGATATATGTGCATTGACCCCAGTGAGAGTTCAAAGTTCAAGTAATGGCAGTTGTCACAATGTACGTGCCAGACCAAAACAAAAATATTGTAGTAAAAATTTTACACAGTAATTATTAAATTGACACTGAAAGAAAAAAAATCTATAAAATATCTAACTCCATATGAAAAGTTTCTAGAAAAATATTTACGATCTAAATGTCAAAAACAGGATCTAAATGCAATTAAAAAGATCTAAATTTGTATATAAAAGATCCAAAGTGGCAACACTGCTGTTAATCTAACCAGAGAAGTTACAAACAGAACACATCGGCATTCATGACAGACCGTTGTATCTACAGGTTGTGTACTCTCTGGAAGGCGATCAGCTTGTGGAGATACAGAAGGGATCTGATTTTGAGTCACGTAATGTCAGGAAGGTGTCCGGAGACACAATGACAATGGTATGTGTCCTACAGTTTGCATCCTGATTCTGAATGTTTAGCTTTACTTTTTAATTATGACTAGTTTTTTAAGTTTTCCTCCGTTAACGATGAACTGCTATTATTTTCTACAATGATTCGTTTAATTATGAGCCAAGCCGATATAGTAAGTTATCGTGGTTCACCGTCATCACAAACTACGATATAACTGTTCCCAGCCCTAATTATGTTACGTCGCCAAACCACCCTAATATGTTTATCTTCTTATAGTCTTTTTATTTTTAAAAACGTTAGCCAGTGATTGCCACGATTTCAGATGGATTTTATTTTCAATGTTGTTCACACTTCTGAAAAGGAAAAGAGAAAACTCACAACGCTCTACTTCTACCTGCTGTCATCAGTTTATGGTTTCTATCTGTGTTTGGTGCTACCGGACTTGTTTCTTTCAAAAATGACGTTGGTTCCCTTCAATGGATACCAGATGGAGTCCTGGGACGAGAAGTCGGCTGATGCTGACAACATCACACACACAAAGCGTCGATTTGTCTATAAATTATAGATCTAGCCGTATATGTCCAATACGCATGCAGGCGTGGAAATGGTCCTTTTCTTGTTTTTGTGTATGGTTTTTCCGTCAATTGTATTCGTTGCAGTTTTCTAGAAACTAAATTTCCTCAATCATTATATGTTTCTTACTGTGCACTTTGCCCACTCATTTTTCTAAGTTTCGCATGCATAAAACAGTATATGCTGTGTATGTCAATTTAACACTCTAATTTCAAAGGATTCACATTTCGTTTGCGTTTTACATCTGGCAAAAACTCATTTTTAATTACGTTTCTTGTATTAATCTCACCAATGCATCTTCTGTCAGATGTTATGACAGTTGAAAAAAAAAAAAGATGTATCAATTCACCTGATTAAGATAGTACCCTTTTACTTGCATGACTGACTTTGGCGTTTCATTGTATGTATGATTATGTGTGTGTGCGTGTGTGGTGTGTGTGTGGATGGTATTTTCAACGGTGTTCACACTTATGACAAGGAAGAGAAAACTTACAACGCTCTTCTTCTAACTGCTCTAATGAGTTTATGGTTTCCATCTGTGTTTGGTGGTACCGGACTTTTTTTTCTATCTTTCAAAAATGACCTTGGTTCCCAGATCTATTGTGTGTGTAGATAGCCACAATTTATTTTTACAAACTGAACTTTAATGATCTCTGGTAAGTGCATACAATAACAGTATTTATTGACTTCTGCAGATCATATCTATAATCTACATTCAATATTGTAACATCTGCATGTCTTATACTGTTAATTTCAGACCCACTGTCGATCACCAGTGTCTTTTAAAACTCATACTTTCACGACATGAGGAAACACAAGGATGGAGAAATAGATTCATGTCGCACACCCTACTTTTGTTTACTTTCCTTGTCAATTTTGAGTGTATCGTGTTCTGGATATGAAATCATTGTTACCCAAATTTTTACAGAGTTGAAAGCTGACATGTAGTCAGGGAAGCAAAGACAATGTAAACGTAAAGTAGAGACCATTTTCTATGTCTTGGTGGGAAAATGGTGCTAGCCCAATGTTTGTAGACCAATGGACATTACATATTACACCCCTTTTTTTCGTCCAGACTTATTTCTTTAAGTCACGAGTACAAGGATTGGCCAACTGATGCAGAATCAGAAGTTCAACAAATGATTCATGACAGTTCCTGTAAAGGTGATGTGATTATCCATACAGATGACTCTGTTTTGAGGTGCACACTAGTGGTAGTAGTACATTTTACCCCAATAGGACATCACACAAGCGATAAACACCCAATGTCACAAAGTGCCACCATGTGGAGGAGAACTGATTTGATTTGATTCTGATTAAACGTCCGTCTTGCCTTTCCTCTGAGCCTCGAGCATTTGCCAGAACTTCTAGTCACTTCTCAGAACTGTACACGCTCTCCCACAATGCACTAACTACGTCTGCCTTATCATGTATCAGTATTCCACCAAGTTGTGCAGAGCCAGCCAGTCTGTCCGCCTGTTCATTTCATAACACACCGGCGTGTCCCGGTTAAAAAAAATCCAGACAATACTCCTCACCCGTGTCCTCTGCAGCGAAGCATGCCATTCTGCACGAAGAGTGCCTGTCCTGATCTTTCTCAGCATGCTTTCTGAGTCAGTTAAAATAACGATGTGTGTGTGACGTGTTCTCTAACCGGCGGAAAGCTGCAGTATATGGATGAGGATCACCCGTGGAGAGGTCCCTAAAACCGCGTTTAGCCATTATACCATATTTATGGCCGAGCAATATTGCGGCACCTGACAAGAGCCAGGGTGGGGCTTCAAAGTAACGAAAAATTGCATCCCACAACGAGATCACTAATTGTTTGAGGGGCAGACAAAATGCATTACGGTTCATAGCAAAAGCAAACGGACGTCGCTTAGTGCAACAAAGCCTGGCATATGAAATCACAACGTCTAGTTTGAGAATAGAGGTGAAGGCAGTCACTGCTGCTTTTCGCTAGATTGAAAATAAGCTGTACACACATGTCGTAATTGCTACTGTCTCACAGAGCATGATGAGAAAAGTGGGGACAGGCATGCTTAATGCGCAGTGGCAAGCATCGCTTCAGAGGACCCAGGTAGTTAGTGACCTTTGGATATTTTCTCCTCAGGTTACTGGTGTGTTGGGAAACGAGCAGAGAGATAGACTGGCCGCTTTTAATATACTTGATGGTGAATTGATGTATGACAAGCTAGATGTTGTGAGGGCCATATGGGAACGAGTGAACAGTGCCGAGGCACAAGTAAATCAATACGGTCTTAGGAGAATGGGGCTGCAGAAAGTTACAAGTGAATGTGGCCGACACTCAGCACTCAAGTTAAAGACGAGACAAATGTTCAATCAGTTAGCCATTGGTACCATAGGAACTGAAACTCTTCGCTTGTTACTGAAGATTGGGATGAAGCACTTATGTGAGTGTCCCACGTGCTGTGGTGTCGATTCTTAATTCAACGTTTAACATTCATAGTGCCCATCTCAAGCTAGGTCCATCTGACAGTCTATGTCATTTTAAAAACAATCTCCAACTTTATTAGGACTCAAACACATGACCATCGGACCGGTATTTAAACCGTATAACCCTACTGTTGTTACCCGTCTATGAAATTGTTATTACATAATAATATTATGTTGTGCTATTGTACAGCTGACTAATACTCATACAGTATTAAATAAATGCTTCCACGTAGTGTTATGTTTTAAGTTAACACTCTTACTTCAAGAAATAGGTGGGGGTTACAATCACCGAAATTATTATTTTCTATAATCTTTCTCTGTCAAATGAGGTGAAAAAAAGGAAATCACGAAAGCTAAATAAATCATATCCTCGTATATAAACATGTATCGTGGACAGTTCGCCAATTAGTGAAAAATTATAAAGAAGCGACCGGGATGTCGTTTTATAGGCGATTGATTAGAATACACTAGGCAGATTTAAAAAGAGCGAGGAAGATCTTGAAAGTAATTACCTCATAAGGAGAACTGATTCCCGATACGAGAGGGAGACAATTTGCAGTCTTTGGTTATGTCATGAGAAGAGGGAAACCGGAGCATGAGGAGAAAAGAGTCATTGACTGGTCTTAGACCATGATTTGTATACGATAAAGTCATCAGAGTAGAAGTTTAGGTAATGTTACTTTTAGACAAAAAGATATTTTATGAAGCTGAGGTGTCGATACCAAACTAGAAGAGCAAGGGTTTGTGTGTGTGTGTGTGTGTGTGTGTGTGTGTGTGTGTGTGTGTGTGTGTGTGTGTGTGTGTGTGTGTCCTCACCCCTTTGACCTGTCCAGCTAGTAGTACTATCGTCGGCATAACTCTCAATGTCACGTTCAGTAGGAGATACCTTCAGAACAAAGAAAAACATGTTAGTATTAGGGTAGAAACTGCAACTACTACAGAGAAGAAATACAATATAAAATACAATGTGGAAATAATGTATAATATGCCCTACGACATCTGCTAAAATCAAATGGTGTATCCCGCAACAGCACGATCATAGTATACACACCCTCAACAAAACCAGTTTTTTTACATGGCTCGGAAACCTAGAGCACAGATAAAAGAGATGAAGCCTTATTACAGTTTTTGAGAACAGTTTTACGACGAATTTTTCGACTCATCAGAATGCTAAAGCAGACAAAATGTTATTTTGTGGAATTTGAAAAAAGAAAGCTAATCGAATGAATATGCATAGGAGTTATCTTCAGGACTGCAGCTCAATTGTTAATCATACCGAAGAAGAAGAAGAAAAAGAAGAAGAAAAAGAGGAAGAAGAAGAAGAAGAAAAAAAAAAGAAGAAGAAGAAGAAGAAGAAGAAGAAGAAAAAGAAGAAGAAGAAAAAGAAAAAGAAGAAGAAAAAGAAGAAGAAGAAAAGAAGAGGAGGAAGAAGAAGAAGAAGAAGAAGAAGAAGAAGAAGAAGAAGAAGAAGAAGAAGAAGAAGAAGAAGAAGAAGAAGAAGAAGAAGAAGAAGAAGAAGAAGAAGAAGAAGAAGAAGAAGAAGAAGAAGAAGAAGAAGAAGAAGAAGAAGAAGAAGAAGAAGAAGAAGAAGAAGAAGAAGAAGAAGAAGAAGAAGAAAAGAAGAAGAAGAAGAAGAAGAAGAAGAAGAAGAAGAAGAAGAAGAAGAAGAAGAAGAAGAAGAAGAAGAAGAAGAAGAAGAAGAAGAAGAAGAAGAAGAAGAAGAAGAAGAAGAAGAAGAAGAAGAAGAAGATGAAGAAAAGGAAGAAGAAGAAGAAGAAGAAGAAGAAGAAGAAGAAGAAGAAGAAGAAGAAGAAGAAGAAGAAGAAGAAGAAGAAGAAGAAGAAGAAGAAGAAGAAGAAGAAGAAGAAGAAGAAGAAGAAGAAAGAAGAAGAAAAGAAGAAGAAGAAGAAGAAGAAGAAGAAGAAGAAGAAGAAGAAGAAGAAGAAGAAGAAGAAGAAGAAGAAGAAGAAGAAGAAGAAGAAGAAGAAAAAAGAAGAAGAAGAAGAAGAAGAAGAAGAAGAAGAAGAAGAAGAAGAAGAAGAAGAAGAAGAAGAAGAAGAAAAGAAAAAGAAGAAGAAGAAGAAGAAAAAGAAGAAGAAGAAGAAGAAGAAGAAGAGGAAGAATGTCTGTGGTTTCCATAGACCCCTATTTGGGAAAGGGGGAGGGGCAACAAACCCGGTGCCCTTAACAATCTCGAAAAAGGAAACTAAGTAGGGGTTTTCCTTTGAAGTGAGCCTGTGCCTGCCTATGAGGCGAGCAATCAACAGTTTGCAAATATATCATCCAGATCTGCAAAATTGATATGCATTAAAAAAAGGTCAGATGATAAAATAAGACTAAAATCTAGAATTTGACGAACAACCAGAACTTTAAAGTTTAAAGCCGGTGAACGCTAAGAAGAAAAAGAAGAAGAAGGACGAGGAGGAGAAGGAGAAGAAGACGAAACATTAGTAGTAGCAGCAGCAGCAGCAGTAGCAGTAGTATCAGCAGCAGCAGTAGCAGCAGCAGTAGTAGTAGCAGCAGCAGTAGCAGCAGCAGCATTAGTAGTAGTATTATTAATATTATTATTATTATTATTATTATTAGTAGTAGTAGTAGTAGTAGTAGTAGTAGTAGTAGTAGTAGTAGTAGTAGTAGTAGTAGTAGTAGTAGTAGTAGTAGTAGTAGCAGCAGCAGCAGCAGCAGCAGCAATGGTAGTAGTAAAGTAGTGATAGTAGTAGTAGAAGAGAAACTAAGCATAATAAGAAGAAGAAGAATGTCATTTTGCAAGAAGGTTAGTGTTGCTAAAATAGGATATTTTCACATCTCTGTTGATACATTTTACAAAAACACTTCTGACTTTTACTTGTAATCACCAGCATAAATAAAATGTGGGATGGGTTGATTTGTTAAGATATTTGCATAATAATTGAGTGCCTTCACGGCTGGCCTTAGCACTCATGCGTTCCATCACTGGTCTTTAAATCGTTAACAGAAAGTGAGATATTTATTTCATATCACGATGAAAGAACCCAGGTCGACCCAGCCTTGAGTGGGTACTGGGTGCAGTCCCGGGAAGTAAAGGCAGCCAGCGTGATGCTGACCACATCACCCATATTCTGCCGATCGGTCTATAAAAATATAGGTCTAGCCCTATATGCCCTATAGCCTAAAGGCGTGGAAAAGGGTCCTTTACTTTACTTACTTACGATATAAGAATGCCATTAATTTTACTTACTGTCCCCCTTTTTTTCGCATTACATTGTTTTCTAACTGACAGAAAAAAAAAATAAAGCAAATGGTGCTGATGGAATTGCATCTTAACTTTTAAAATAAAGTGGTCTTACATTACATGTAAAGATATATAAATTAATAAAACTAGTTTGGAAGACGGAGAAATTACCCCATGAGTGGAAATAGTCATTATTAATACCAATGTTATAGAAAGGAGACAAGTTTGTGTTTGAAAATATCACTATTTTTTACAAGCTATAATATACTATCGGCGGTACTGCTAAACAGGCTAAAACCATACGTCAAAGACATATTGGGAGATTACCAAGAGGGTTTCCGACAGAACAGATCAACAATAGATCAGATATTCATTTTACGGCAAACAGCAGAGCAAATTGGGAATATAGAAGAGATGTACGTAATGTTTTTGTAGGTTTAAAAAAAGCGTAAGAAACAGTTTACGGAATGATATAAAGGACTTTGGAATACCAAAGAAGTTAATTACAATAGCCAAACTATGTATGGAGGACACTTTTAATATAGTAACATATAAAGGCAGAAAGTCAGACTTATTTCAAATAACATCTGGTAGGGATGTGCTGTGTCCCAACTTAACTTAGCCATATTATATGGAAATTGAAAGAACAGTTTACTACATGAAGAGAAACTACATGAATACTTGGTTATCAGATGACACTGATACCGTTGTAGAAAATGAACTAGAGACGGACAAAACCCAGAATTTCTTAGAAGAAGCAGCTCACATAATGGGACTAGTTATCATCAATCAAGATAAGACTGAATACATAGTAATAACAATACAGGGAAATTGTATAATCTCTGGCCACATACAAGTGGATAATATTTTTTTTTAAATGGCAACATATAAGTACCTGGGTGCAAATTTCAACTGTTCCACCTAGGAACGATTAATCACTAAGCTGCGGTCAACCTGACAGCCATTAAAATCTTTACCTTGTAGGATTACCGACTTTGTGCTTTGGACACGAACAACGCCTAGGGTTGTGTGAATATTAAACGCAGTTTGACGGGTCGCGCAATCTACGTTTGGTCCGCGGCGAGTTTGTTCGGTTCAAACCAACTGGCATAAATCATACCTTGACAGGGGCCCAGTGCGCTAAAGGTCACTTGTTTTTGTTGAAAGGGCGTCCCCTGAAATGGGACCTGACTCCAACAAGAACGTGGGTGTTTGAGGTTAGAGAAGAGAGAGGAGCCTCATATCAAGGAACATGATAGAGATACATTAGAGAGACAGAGAGAGAGAGAGAGAGAGAGAGAGAGAGAGAGAGAGAGAGAGTGCTGATAGGGTTATAGAAACTGGGCCAATGCGTGTAAGGAACAGAATAACACAAGATGACAGAACAGCTGCCATATATCACTATACATATATATGGACTGCCCCCGAAGAGAAGAAACGAGAGGCATAATATTTTTATTTTAATTTGTTGTTTGTTACAAGGGATGGGTAATTACTGCAGGTGGGATACAGGAGCAGATGGAAAGAACTACAAGGTACCTCATATCAAGGAACATAATAAGGATACAGAAGAGAGAGAGAGAGAGAGAGAGAGAGAGAGAGAGAGAGAGAGAGAAAGAGAGAGAGAGGTGTATTCATAATTAACACAAGAAGACAGAGAGCCACACAATGATGCTGATAGGGTTATAGAAGAGAGGAGCCTAAACATAACTAACAGAAGAGGACAGATGGTCACCAGTTGGGGGAGGCCCTCCACCAAAGACGCGGTTTCTCGAGAATAAAGAAAGAAAAACACATGTCTGTATGGACTGCCCCGACCAGAGCTGGATTGGGGTCTTAACCCCAAGTCACTTAAAATGGATTTTAAATATTTTAAATAAGTCACTTGTTCTAATTTGTCACCTTTAACGTAGATTGGTGAATTTCTGCCAGCTGGATTATTAGTCATTGCTTTTTTTTCTGCGTTTATTGTCCTGCCATACTTTAAGAAAAGAGTAGATAAGAAATACAATCTGAATTCTGAAAACGGGGTACACAAAGAAGAAGATCGAGAGATAATATCTGGGTAGATCTACAAACGCAACAAATTCTAAGTCGTGAAAAAGATATAAAATAAGAAAAACATAGTCCATAATTAATCATTTTCAGTTTACTTTTCTCTTGCAGACATTTACAGCACACAATGGTGTGTCCAGCACGAGAATATACAAGCGAGTTTCCTAAACCTACAACTATGTCATCCTATTCGAGCAGCAGCGCATAGAAACTGTTTCAATAATAAAAAGCTCGCCAATTTCCAAGAGTAGAAATGTTTAACATAGCTGTATTCAATTTATTAGTAACATGCTTCAATAGTGAAGATGTGAATACATTTGTATAACTGTTTGCCTGTTATTTCTGAATTTTTATTTTTTAATGTACTGGAATGTTAATATGTCATCATCGTCATGGCAGATCATGCTTCTCGATATCATGCTAAGTGCAGCAGAAATGCCTCCAACTACAAAGGACAGCAGGGTACACGAGTGGCGCAGGCCTCTACAATATAATTATTTTATTAACTGGAACGGAATTTCCTGAATTGATTCCTATTGAATTTACATATAATTGTAACCTTGTTACCGAATAGTACAGAAAAATACGTGCAACAGAGCATATACATTTGTGTGTTGTAATCTGCACAGCAGTGATGATGAACAGCTGCCAAGAAGCTATAATTATGGGGGTGGAGGGTGGCGAAGGTGGGAATAGATAATCAATAAAACACACCAAAAAAAAAAAAAAAAAACAATGATACCCCCACCCTCTCTTCTACATACTGACATTTATACTTTACATTCACTATGGGGGAGCTTCAAACAAAAGCCATTATACTTGCAGTAGACTTTTGAAATGCAGGATCAGTGTTATGTACAGTGGCCAATAGACTTGATATGTTAAATTTATATGAAAGTACGTGTTCTAATATGCTCTTTTCTTTTGTCTTACGCAAGGTTTTATTTTAACTGTTCTTTATGTTTTTAATGTATTTTCACTGCTCATTTAATCATTTCTGCTTAACTTCACTACATTTCTTGATTAGTCACATAATTTATATTTCTTTATGGCTTCAAGCTAAAGTGCAGACTAATTTGAATGACCTTTGCACGTATGTTGAAAGCTGAATACTACAAACATAAATTATGACCGGGTAAAGAATAAACCATCAGTTTCTGTAAAAATGTTGAATATTAAAGGTTGAAGTGAGAATCGACATCACAGCACCCAGGACACCCCAATAAGCGCTCCGTTCACATCTTCAGCAGCAATCGAAGAGTTCCAACTCCAATGGCACCAGTTACTGTCTCAATGTTTATCCGTCTCGCATTTCCCCTGCGTGTTGAGCGAAGGCCAGATATACTTGTGACTCCTTGCAGGAAATTCTCCCCAGACCGTGATGATCTATCTGTGCTTCCGCACTGTTCAATCGCTCCCAAAGAGCCCTCACAACATCGAGGCTGTCACACATCAGTTCACCACTAAGCAGTGACTGCTTTCCCCTACATTATCAAACTAGACGTTGCTATCATATGCTAAGCTTTGCTTTTGCTATGAACCCCTATGCACTTCGTCTGCCCCTCTACCTAGAGCCATCTGTATAGATTATCACATCACCTGGGCGGGAACTGTCATGAAACATTTGTTGAACTTCTGATTCTTCAGCATCACCTGGTCAGTCCCTGCATTCACGACTCAAATTGATAAGAACTCTACACAAGTCTGAAACTTGCGCGGACACTTCGACCCACTCCTCTCCTCGCTTAAATTTATCGAGCCTGTACACATGTCCAATCGTGTCTTCAGCTCACGCCATCCAAGACCTTCCTCTTTTCAATCTGTGACCCTTAGATCTACCTAGGACTTCATGCAGGAGGTGCTTCTTGTCTGCAGCTACTCTGAGATATGACTTTGCTTGCAGAAATTTTAGCCTATCTGCAATAGTAGGCAGTGCAAGTATATATCGTATTCATACTACCAGGGCGTTTCGTACATCCAAAAATGACCCGCATGGCTTAATTGTGCGTTCAAGTTTCATCAGCTGACTATTTGATATGGTAAGCATTCCAAGTCCATAATCTATGACCAAGGATCACATGCTGGAACGTTGTGAACAGCATTCTTTGTTCAATGTCCATTGCTCCACAATCCTAAGAGCATTGAGTCCTTTTTAGTATTTTACCGCAACTGCCTTTAGATGATCACTGAAGGACAGGCTTCTATCGAAAATGATACCCAGGTACCTCAGTTTGTGTTCTCTTTTGATTTTATTGTCAGTAATTGTGAGGCTTTGAACACTAGCTCTTACAATTCTAATGTTCAGAGAGCCCCACAAAACAGACGCCTTTTCTGAATCGATGGCAGCACCCTACCTATTATCAAGAACATATTCAGAATATATTAATATACTTCAAACGCATGGTGCTTTAAGTTCTGCAATCTTACTTGTAGACAGATTGAAGAGCACTGGTGAAATTAAAGAACCTTAGGGTAGTACTATGGCGATATTACATGGTTCTGAGGTCCATGTACCTAGGCGAAGGACAGTCATACGCGAATGCAGGACAGCTGCTATCCAGTTCACAGGCCAAGGACAAACCCCTACTTCTTGAGTGCAGAAATCAAAATATCTTATCTGACTCTATTGTATGTAAAATCAAGTTCTGCAACAACCATTTCCTGTCTTTTCTGGAACACCTCATAAACATCAAAAGTAAGAGTAGCTGCATATGACCCGGTATCTTTCCGTGGCCGGTAACTACACAAATCTTTTGACAGCAGCTCTTCCTTTTCCCCCCAAAAATGTTAGTTTAACAGCTCTATAGCACCTTGCCAAAAGTATTTTGTAGAGTGATTATTCTGAAACCGCCGAGTCTGGAATGATCTTTGTCTGGTTTTGGAAGTGGGTTGAAGAAGCTGTGTACCTAATCCTGGGGTACTGAAGCTGTTCTAATTATGTGGTTGAAGTAAAAAAAAAAAAGTCATCTCTCTCAAGTCATCGTAACTCGTGCTCTTCATGTGGGCATACCTAAATCCGTCTGGCCAAGGCGCAGTATTTTCTCATTTTCATAATATATATTTTAAATCCTCCACCCTAATGATACTAGTAAAATGATTATCATTTTTGTATTTAACATATTATCTCTGAATTTCTAAGCTCCCTATCACTGCAATAAGACTGGGCTATAAATCTCTTCATAAATGCTCCTCCTATCTCTTTGTCTGTTGTCATTGGCATACCATTATTAGTGTATATAATGCCTGTTGTGATAGGCCGATCCTACCTTTGCATCTGTCTTGTGGTTTCCGAAACCTCTCCAGTGATTTATCCCCTCCATTTTCGCTCATAAAATGTTCCCACCTTTGCATCGGCTGCACACCGCTTAAACTCTTCTGGTTTCTCTTTTCTCTCTTTCTAGCTTCTCTACATCTGAACAAAGAAGACACAAACAATAGACTACACAATTTATTGCCTGGCATATTTCGCTGTATCTCATCAGGTGCATACTACAGTAACAATTAATTAAAATGAAGCAAATAGCTGAATCCTAGAAACTGAAACACAAATTCGAGTAGATTTCAAACTGTTTCACCATGGTAAACGTAGGGCAACGACCATTTCTTTTTGCCTACATAGTTCCGGTTTCAATCTGCCAATCGCTGAAGCTTCTGCGTATCGAAGTAATCTACGGTTAGCCGAATTGTAAATAATTCGGAATGCATCATCCCTGTTAATGATGTGCCCGGAATTTATAAAATGGCACGCAATTGCTGATGATGGATTATTTCGACCAGTCACCTGATTCGTTGTTGTTGAGGTGTTAGTGTTCTGCATTGCTTTTACCAACCATAGTGGAATATGTTCAGCAACCCGTTGTTCCAGTTGTTCCGTTGTTCCAACAATAGCAAATGACTGAATGCACTTTGTAATCGTCTCAAGGACTCGGCATATTGTTGGTTTCACCATATCTTGTCTGGCATGCCCTTCTTAGTCAGATCAGACCACATATACGTGATGGTAGCATAATGGGGAATGAATTTAGCGTAGAAATTACTCAAAACTAGCAATGCCCGAACTTGCTTTATGGTCTTAGGGACAGGCAGGTTCAGAAACTTGTGAACATTGGTTTGAACGGGTTTTCTGACCCCTCTGCCTATAACATGACCCAGGAACGTCACTTCCTGTACTACAACCTCTACATTGGTTACTCTAACTGTCAATCCAGATGACTGGATGCACTCCAACAAGCTTCTCAACCCTTGTTCCTCGATGTCCTCATGAAACCGAAGAATGTCATCCAAACAATAGATTATCATGGAAAAACACACCAATGATGAACCAGTGATCGACAAAATACTGTCTTCTACTGCCTTCCCGGATATTACCCTCGGCAGTCTTTCCAAACGTGGACGAAAACCCAAGCGAACTATGTGCCATGTGCCTGCTACGGGCAACTGACATCCGACCGCACAGATACACCTATGTGATGTAAAGTGACCACCCCCTGATGGCTGCCCCTCCAACGGACCCATCAATCTGAGGGTTTAAGGTAGATGCACCATACGGTGACAAATAAAGCCAAAAAGAAATCCAGACCAAAGTCTGCTACCTAGTCACTGAAGCATCGCTGACTACCATTCTGCAAGTCAGCATCCGATACTTTCCCCACATCACACTCCACGCTAGTTAACACCCATAAGGTTCCTGGCAAGTTCTGTGCCCTTACAGATACCCCTGTCAACTACGTGCACCATAGTCGCACCACTTCTGACTCCAGAAACACATGGGCCGCACCATCGTCCATTCTGGCAATCCCACTGACAGCATACCCTTTCTAGCCTCCGTAACACTGACCACCTGTTCCGTTTCCAGACCTAGGAACGAATTCGCTAAATGGCATGTCTGTATTTTTACGTGGTATGACAAGATGCTATGAAAACCTTTACGATATTCACGTAGACTAAACGCAACTGGACGACATAAATACACTTCTTCGACGGTGAAAAACACATCAAAAGACATGAGAAAATAGGGCTACCAAGCAAAATAACGTAGCGAACAATGCAATAAACTTATGAATCCGAAAGTTAACCATAAAGTATATAACCTCACGTATACAGCATCCAAACAATGACGGTGAATCAATCCTCAAATTCACACTCAGTAGCGGCCTAGCGGAAATCGA